TATATCCAAATATAGAAGAGCCATGCAAGAATTACAAATCATCCTTCTCATTAATAATCTTGAAATATTAGAAATATAACTTTTCTTCAATGGACTTAATTATAAAATATAACGGATTTTAATTATATATTAAAAATATAAGTGTACTAGTAGTAATATATGCTAAAAAATTGCTTTCGAAGGGAACAGCAGCAAGGTGGTTCACAAATTATGATAATTCACATAATCTCTATTCGAAAAAAGTTTGAGAAACGCTGAAACAGGAAAATTAATTAAATTATGGTTAATACTGGTAATTTCAGCCGTATGCTTTAAGCTTGATGATCAACATTAAAAAATTCTCAGAAAGTGTTAGATCAAAAACTACTTTTCCACATAATATGAATTTATACGTAACAGCATTTAATACTTAGCTCACTTGCAAAATATACAAAATTTTGAAATGCATGTATATGTCTATAAGGCCAATAATATAGTTGAACATCAACAATTAATGCATGAACTTCAAAACTTACACAATTAACAAACACATGAACAATGATGTTACATGCATTCATCCTCATGAATTAACTAGTCAGTTTGGGTATTTTCTATCTTAGATGTCGCAAAAATTGATCGTGGATTTAATATTTTAAATGTTCCTCTCATAGACATTTTAATACTTGTATTTTTTACATAGAGTGTCATCTTTAGTTTTACAGATATTCATTTGTTCACTTATTACGATTAAGTTTTACAGACAGAACAGATGATACCTGATTACATTAAGTGGTATTTAAGACAGAAACTTACTTACTGGTACTTAACACAGTTGCTAGAAAAATATTACATAGTGAAAGACAGGGTACAAAGTCAGAATCTGAAAACTTATTGACTTACACTAAGCTATTTAATGCTTGAAATAGTTATGATTAGATAATATCTTTTACATCATCAATATCTAACAGTGATATGATATACTTTAAGTATACAGTACAGCAAAACCTCTCTATAACCTTCCATAATTTTGTACAATTTTGATATTTAATGGAGGTGGTTACTTCACAAAGCATGATTCTCAGTGATAATTAATATCAATGTTTGTATCACCAGAATACTTGACATAGTCACTTAAAGAGGTATAGTTGCTAAGGAAGGTTTTTCTGTACTTCAAACAATGGTTTACATATTTTTTAAAAGTATATTTTTCTGACACTGTTATTTAAAAAGTGTATAACTCCTTCTACTCTTAAGCATAAAAATTTGAATATTTTTATGCTTAAGAGTCATTCATTTAGTTGTAACTTACAGGCCTAAAATGATATCTTAAATGTCCCTAAAATGTTTTTAATTTATGAAAAACAGCAGTTAGAGTAGTATTGAAGGGTGCTCCCTGTATTATCAATGGATATCAATATGCTTTTACCAAAACAAGCTTTAAGGCATACTGTCAATTACATTTTAAATTCCAGTGATTTTTCAACACTAGTTCAAATACTCTAAGCATATGTTTGCATAAGTTACATAACTTTTGCATCAGCAAAATTTATAACTTAGCAAATATGAACTATGAAAAAAAATATCTGAGCTTACCTTGACCCTTGGATTTACTAAATCTCTGACACTTTTAACGCCAAAGAAATTCGATGACCGAAAATACGCGATGATTTATTTAATCTGGTTTTAAAATTGGGTCCCATTTTAAGTTTGGCTATATCAAACAACTGAATATAGAATCATCTTATATAGCTATCCAAGAATATTACTCAGTATTGTTGGATAGTGAATTTGTAATTCTTTTTCATTCTTGAAATATATACACATATGACAGAATTGGAATAAAAATTTTAGATGAACAGATTTTTCAGATGAAACTCATAGATTGAACTAATTTGTTGAATTTTATCAAGTAGTTTCTTAAAAATACAACCAACGATTAATTAAAACCAACTGCAATTCAAATGGATACTCTTTTGTCAAAAAGGAGCAGTAGAACTTATTTTAAACATTCAGCAATAAATAGTTTTCTGAATATATTTTTTAGCGTAACGTAACGGCAGTTTCAAACATAATAAAGAGAACAACATTCATTCTAATGAGGATAATTTTGAAAATAATTCACATTAAAATATATCTCAAAGAGATTTTTAAATGAAAAGATGACACAAAAGAATTATTCTCAAAAAAAAATACATGTTATCTCAGATATAGAAGAAATTTGGCATTGAGCTGAGTATTGAAATTAATATATGCAACTGACGTATCATTACTTAAATTTCCATGATTTGATATTGAATGCTATAACTATTAAATATTAGCAAATGCATTTTATAATGAACTTTGCACCAAAATTTATAGTAAATTTATATGTAAATTTACATTGTAAGTACTAGAATGAATGTTGTACCATTTTATTAATATTTTACTTTTCAACAAGCATAAAAAAAATAGAAATTTTTCTTCAATATTCCTAGTATGTTACATCATAGTTAAAAATACGTCAAAGTCATGGCATTTCGATTATTGCCTTTTGTAAATCTAATGTAACTTAATAGATGCTTTATAAGTTGGTAAAGACTGTCCTTGGATTAAAACTATCTTTAACACAAAAAATAATATACATTGAATACTTTTACAAATATGTAATTGCTATCCGACTATATAATCTTTAAGGCGAAACTTATCGCATGTATTAATGAAATAATATTCCATTTTTAATGTATGTTAAGTTATTTTGTCGAATTTTTTAAATATATTACATTTATTTTTTTCTTTTTCGTTGAGATTAATAATAACATACATAGTGTAATAATGCTCTGAAAATATTCTAAAGCAGTTCACGCTGGGATTAATGATAACATGTATGGAAATAATGTTACATCTGTCAACAAAATGAAAAATATGAATATTCTAACGCGATATGTTTTAAAAGATACATAAATATTTAACATGAGAAATTATTAGACTATAGATAGAACATTAATATTAAGCTTATTTGTTTTTAAACTAACATATTAACAAATTTGTTTCTGTTTATAAATATGAGCAGTTTAACTGCAGATGTAACGAATAAAAGTTGTTATTTTACTAAATGGAACACAAGCTGTGTGATTTGAACTCTAACAGTAATTTAACACAGGTTTATTTAGGAGCATTAGAATTATAAGCTAAACATTAAAGGAATTTAATTATAGATAGTGTAAAGAACATAACAAATACATTACATAAAATTAGTAAAATACACGTCAAACACTATTTCGAACTTACCTCGACCATAGCAAAAATAATGGCTAACATGGCGACTATCGTTGAACTCTCCCGCTAAGACGCTGTTTTTCCACCTTCTTCCTGACTGGTTCTTCTCTCTCAGCCGTTTTAAGCCACGTGATCACACGCTACGCACAAAATTTAAGCAAAACTTCTTGAAAAATTCCTGTAGAGTTTACAGTTTCGTTTGGTTCTGTGTTCCTTACAGGTATTTCCTTCGTAATTGTTCGCATTTCTGTAACTATACAAGACTTTTGTCTATAAACTTCGAGGTTTTTTTTTACAGTGTACATATGATAGCAGCTTTTGTCTCTATTGATATTGTTAAAATAAGACTTTTTCTTCATTCAAGATTGAGATCAATGGTGCTTTCAATATTTCAAAACTTGCTTGTCAGAGAGAAATATGTAGTATAGAAGACTTTAAATACCGACTATTGAATTTTTATGCTCAACTATTGCATAACTTTCGATAAAAATAAAGAAAATTATTTTGGTAATACATTTAAAACGCAAATATTAAGTGCAAAGCTTGAGAATTGAAGAGATGAATTTCTAAAGTTTTAAAAAATTTAACAGAAGGAACAGTAACTCTATCTGATAAACCTTGTATTACTCATTCTTTTTTAGAAAGGTAATTAACTGAAATTGTACAGTAATTTTATCTCGGCAATATATGTATGTTCATTGGCCCCCGACTACACAGTAAAAAATTGGGCATATGAGGTAATTATATTTTCCTTTTATAACATTCTGATAACTCTAAACAAAACACCAGCGTATTTGAGCTTTCGAGTGATGGTATTTATACACAACACGTCTACAAAAGTTCAAAAACAGGTGCGTAGTGTGTGACCTACAAAAGGTCTATGCATATACAAAACTGAAAATTGAAGAAAGAAGCTTTCTGACACTTTGACCTCTAATATACAGTGATCATAAGTCTCTGGAACGCTTAGTAAGTTCGTACAATTACTTGATTTTGCCTTTTATATAGCTGCTAGATTTAAGTCTTATGTTAAAGTTTTCTGAATATCCTTCAGGTACCGTTTAAATATGTTTGATGTTTGAAATGAGACTTCACTTTAGGAAGGGGGAAAAAGTCTTCGGAGTCATATGTGGTGAATACCCTGATAGGGTCTGGAACTGTTAAGACTTTTCTTTTTCTGGAAACTGCTTGATGAAAATGAGAGTGTGTGACGGCACATTGTGTTGAAGCAGAAACCAGTTAATGTATTAATCTTTCTTGCTAAATCCACTAATTACCTCTATACAGTGAGGGCGATGAACGTTACGAAGGTAAATGAGAAGTGGGTCGTTATGATCCTGAAGGGCTTATTTTAAAGTAACAGACTATATAACAAAAACCAGCGATTAACTACACAGAAATTCTCTCCGCATAAAGACGATATTTTAGGAGAAGGGGTTGAGATGTCATAGTAATAAATATTATCAATTATCGTTTAACAGGTTTTCTGAAATTTGTTAATAAATTAGTCCTAAGACTTTATCGAAGCGTTGTGTATTTGTACACTTATAACTGCGTGAAATATTTCACTTACTGAAGGCTAGGATTTAAGTAAGCGAAAAAACTTATTCAACTGTGAACATCCGTCAATTGTATCCATAAACATTATTACATTTGTATTTTTAGTATGATTGATATTTATACTATCTTAAAATTTAAGAAATTAAATGCATTAAATTTTAACACTATTTCCCTTATTCTGATGTCACAGTTTTCTTTCTTTTTAGATCTATGGGCTATTGTGAACAATGCCGGAGTTCAAAAAGGGTTTTCTGTCGAACTTACTGGAATTGCTGAATTCAAAGACACTATGGAAGTCAATGCTATTAGCCCTGTCCGGGTCACTAAAGCCTTTTTACCTCTATTAAGACAGACGAAAGGTCGGGTCATCAACATGATTAGTTTAGCAGGCAAGGAAGTCGCAACAGACAATTTTTTACCATCATTCATTAAAAGTTTTTTTTTTTTTTCCGTTTAAACACCTAACCTTTCAAATTTGTACTAATAGGCGAGCTAGAGGCTAGTTGTAACAATACATAATCACACTAAAGTTGCGTATTGTTTTTAAAAATTTTTTATCAGAATTTTCAAAAAACATGATTCTTACGATGAGCTCTGAATACGAAAGCATAGTCATTGCTCTGTTGAAACGGGTACTGAGAAGTTGTATGCATGCGTTCCATTTTAGCTAGTTAATGGGGAAAATATTTTTAAATTTTCATTTAAGATAACTGGTCTTAAAAAAGATTTTACCTATTTATTTTGTCTATACTTTAAAATGTTGTTTTTTTATTAAACGTAATATTTTTTTGATAAATCAACAAAAGTGTCCGAAATCATACGATGGGGCAAATTGTAACATATTACAATTTACCCCGACATCTCCATACATGTATAGTTAGAATTTCTTCTTCAAATGTTAACATGCAAATTACTTTATTCAATCAAGGTTTCTTTACAAAAGCAGAAAAATTGATTTTTTAACCTCAAAGATTGGACCTCTTCTTAAGGCTGTACCTCGGAAACAGTCTAACAGAGGCCGAAGCAAAAGGAAATATTGCATTCTAACTGACTCATCTGAAACAAAAGTATTGGTAAAGGAATATGAAACGAAACAAAAAACAAAAACAAAAAAAAAAAAAAAAAGTATAAAGAGAGGGGAAAGGTTAAAAAAAATCGAAAAATAAAATAGAGAGACAAAACGAGGAAACGGAAAGATTTTGAACTCCAATACAGATTTTGAAACAGAAAAGCTATGCTTAACTTTCAGAGTTGCCTAAAAAAATGGGTGCAATACTTAATTTGCAAAACGGTGCGCAAGTTAAATGTGTGAGGGAAACAACCTATCATTTGTTTGTGTTAACTCTAATTCTGATGAAAACTTGTTAGGAATTGTGTGTCTTTTGATGTGCTTTGGAAACATTACGTGTCCTGAATAGGAACATAGCTTACTCAAGCTATGTTCAAATGTGTGAAATGGACAACACCAGCAGGAAGGGTGTACCGAACCCTTTATTCTCTATAGGTTTACAGGTGCTCCCGTACTTCGGGATACAGAGGCCAACCACCTTGTGGTCTGAAAGTAAAAATATAAAACTACTGACTAAAATTTTGACTAAAAGCTAAGTTTGAATTAGTTTACAAATGCCTAACACCAAGACTGGCCTTTTTAAAAGGTTACTTAGGGAGTACTCAAACTGCTGAAACTACAATACGTTTTAAAATATCAAGAGGGACTAAACCTCTGGCCTTAAAGGCAAGCAGCAACTGATTGAAAACTCGCAAGGTGGCTCACTTCCCCTCTCTCTCTCTCTAACACTTGGCAAAAAGCCACAGCTTAATCACTTGGGCGTTAGCAAGTACAATTTGCATAAACAGGTTAACGCATTTAATTCTGGCCGGAAGTGGAAAATAAGAAAAGATAGTACAGTTTTAAAATAAAATAAACGTTAGTAAAACTTAAGATCCTTACAAACTGACTTCTGACAGTTGTTGACTGGTTAAATAATTTTATCTTTGTTTTCCTATAAATACTTGATATCATTCATTTTCATTAGACCAATGATAAGAATCACCAAATATTTTTTTTAATATTGTAGCTATTATTAGTATTACACTCTATAACAAAAAATCGATGCACCAAGAAGGAGTTGTCCAATGGAGACAAAAATTGTTGGATAGGATGATTATATATAGAACAGAAAATGATTAAAATTTCGGAATAATTGAATGATTTTTTTTCAGAGTTGCAAAGTTACAAAATAACGAGCTCAATAATAATCGAGTGAGGTGTTGACCCACCTCTACTCGGGATACAAGCTGCCACACGGTGTGGCATAGACTGATAAAGCTTCTGGATGGTCTCCTGCGGTATTTCTTGCCAAATTTGCTCCAATTGTCAGGCTCGGTCATCAACATTACTGGTAGAGGCAGTGCAAAAACATCGCGGATGAAAACAACGCATTGCGAAAACATCGTGGGAGAAAACATCGTCGTCGATAATATCGTGGTAAAAAATAAAGTATCTACAAATCATCGCATGACGATAACATCACACACATGTTTTTTTTTTCGGGTTTTAATAATTGTAAATGGATATTCCCATAATGATTTGTGAGCGCAAGATGTAAAGAAGGATAATTTTTACTTTCACATTTTTTTATTAACTGATAAATTTTTGCTGAAAAAGTAAGAAGGATACTTAAGCATAGAAAATTAAATGCAATTTATAGATTGTACTTTTCATGAAAAATTACCAGTAAAAACTTTATAAAAATGATTTATTAATGGCCTTTGTTAGTTAACTATGTCGTTTTAAAATTCTATTAAGGGCTATTAAGTTGCATTAATTTTCTATGCTTACGTTTCTTTTTTATTATCTCAGCAAAAATTTATTAGTTAATAAAAAATATGAAAGTGAAACTTATTCTTCTTTACATCTTGCGCTCACAAGACATTATGGGGATATTTATTACAATTATTAAAGCCTGAAAAAAGCGTTGTCTGCGATGTTATCGTCATGCGATGATCTGTAGATACCTTTTTTCTTACCACGATATTTTCGACGACGATGTTTTAAAACTGAAGTTTTTGAACCGCTTTATTTTCGACGACGATGTTCTGTACCACGATGTTTTAGAACTGTGAAGTTTTCTCCCACGATGTTTTGTAGCACGACATTTTCGCCTTGCGTTGTTTTCTCCGCAACGTTTTCGTCCGCGATGTTTTCGGCTGTAACCAAAGGAACAGTAGCAAAACAGGTCTCAGAATGTCGTCGACGTACCGCTGTGCTGTAAGTGTGCCTTTAATGAATTTGGCTATCAAGGAAAATGGCACCCCAGACCATAAGCCCTGGTTGAGGGCCTGGTGGCGTGCAATAGTGAAAGCAGGATTGGCACGCTACTCTGGGCGTCTCCAGACACGTCTTCGTTGATTGTCACGGCACAGTTGGAAGCGGGATTCGTTACTAAAGACTATACGTCCCCAGTCAGCCTCATTCCAACCTTATCGAGCCAAGCACCACTGTAAACTGGTTCGACAATATACACGCGTAGATGGCAGGTGGCGTAACGGTCGGTACGAGCATAGATTTTGCTTTATCAGCCGTCTGTGAATTGTCATGGTGGAGACTCGTGTGCGGGTCGCACGTCTGATAATTGATAACAATGAATCAGGCGTTGTGGCAGCTGATCTGACAATCACTCTGTTCTCTCGATCTGTTGTGGCCTTAGGTCGACCGCTACCATCATGACGCTGAAACCTGCCATCGTTCACCAATTCTTGCCAGCATCTTCTAATCGCCGCATCCCTTCGACTCATATGACGAGCGGTTCTCCGATTTGCCCAATCTGCCTCTTTCAATCCAATGATACGACCTCTTTCAAACTCTGACAGTTGCTCGTAATGAGCTCGAATCCTGCGGCTAGGCAATTTTTTTTTCAGTCGTTGAAAGGTATCCTAAATCGCACTGCAACAGAAATTTTTAACAATAGTTCAAGAACAGCTCCTTATATACATCTGCTAACTGCGCAGTTCCGATGTGCTGGAGATCGCACTATTCATTCATTGGAGATCAAATTTTAATTATTTGCATATTTGGTCAAAGCATTTATGCATACGAAATTTCAAAGCAATTGGATGATTCCTTCTTGGTGCATCGAGTTTTTTGTTATACACTGTATTTGCTCCAGGTCTGTTACAATTTACTCTAATACCGGGCAAATTTCAACAGACGAATAGTTTTGATAAAATACTTCTTATGCTAAAATCTACAAAATTGCCGAATGTTTATATGTTGCCGAATTTTTATGTGACTAATTAATAGTATCTACAAAAATCAGCAGATATAATCAGGGAATCATAAATACATTTAAAAATATAAACATTTTTCCCAAAATTGTTACAACTAGCCCCAAGCTTCCCCATTTAAAAGTACTTTAGTTATAAATTTCTTCTTTTCACTAGGAAGAGTTACTATGCCCCATTTTTGTCCTTACGTCATGAGTAAGTTCGCAGCAGTCGCTTTCACTGAGTGCTTAAAACAAGAAATGGATGTCTGGGGAGTCAAGGTGATTTCGGTAGAGCCAGAAATGTTCATGTAAGACTAATTTTTTTTTTCACTGATACCGAATTCTTAATTTCTTTAATCATACATTAATTTTTGCTTACTTTACTTGTACCAGTATTTTGTTCTAAATTGATGCATTCTAGTATTGTGCATTTTTGGTCAAAGACCAATGATATTCTTCCATTCTTCATTTGATGACTCTGAGTATTCCATATACATACCATTTGTGCAATTTAAACATATTTACTTTATAATGTATTTCTCCCGCCTTCTTAGCATGCTTTCGTAGAGCAATGGTCTGCACACTCGGCGCGTAATCGAGAGGTCTGAGTCCCAGCGAGGGCACTGATGATTCTCCACCACTAGGATTTGTGGGTCGCCTAATCCCCAGTCGCCCTTTAAAAGAGGAAGAGTGTTTAAGGTATTTCTCCCGCCTTCTTTGCATGCCTTCGTGGTGTAATGGTCAGCTCACTTGGTGCGTATTCAAGAGGTCCGAGGCTCAAGTACCGGCGAGGGCATTGCTCATTTTTCACGTCTTTCGGCTTTAAAATAACCTAATGACTCTACATATTATTAAATTTATTAGGTTGTTTTTGAGGGCTTCTCAAAGGAAGAATTATTTTCTCTAAAGCATTAAAAAATTTTGCCTCATCGTTCTGAGTAAAAAAAAAAAAAAAAAAAAAAAAAAAAAAAAAAAAAAAAAAAAAAACCCGGTTTACTGATGCTTCTTACAAAAATTTGAAGAGCTTCAGATCTTAACAGTCGCCAAAATGGTTCTTTTAAATTTTAATGCGGTTTATCATTAGAGATTATCGATAAAGATGGTCAGAAGGAATAGCGAAACATTTTATAGTATATTGGATGAATGTAGTACATTTAGACTAATATGGAACGTCATAATATTTTCCGTATATATTTTAAAAGTGAAAAAATGTATAACGAAATTCTATAAAAATACTGAATGTGTTAATTACCTCTATCACGAATAAAATGCGTTTTTTAAATAATCATTCAGGTAAAATGTTTTAAGGTTGCAATTTACATGGAAGCTGAAGTTAAGGTTGCTATTTATATGTAAGTTGAAGTTATGTCCTGCAGATTTTACTAGATAATAACATAGCGAGTTATCGCTAAGTCTGAAATATTACGACAAAGTCTGAAATATTACGTTGATTACTAAACTTGAGAAGTTTTAAATAACCTTTTTATTTGATCTCAACTTTTAAAATGCACGACTTGTGCTACAAACAAAAGACCACAACGCCTGGTTAAACTGAATCAAGCAATAACTGCCAAATAAATTTAAGTGCTGATTAAGTAGTGTAAGGTTGCACAGTCAAATTTATACGCGTATGCAAAAGGCAAAATAATCACTTCTAGACAGAATCTTCCGCCCTAAGGCATTACACGGATGGGAGCGATGCCTTCGCGGAGAACTTTCTAAAGAAAACTGGATCGTGTTAACACGTTACACATGGGTAAAACCACGAAAACGCCAATGCAGCAATCCGTTCACGGGATTCCAACCTCGGACCGAACTACCAGTGTTCAGGGACTTCACCGCTCGGCCACTGGTGGGCTCCTGTCTAAGATTCAAAATCCTTAGCTTATATATTCTAAAAGCTAATTTGCATTCTGTTAAGGAATACGTAAAGGAGAAGTAATAAAAAAAATCAAACAATATAATAACTGATTAATTAACATAAGATCCTTACGTTTCCCCCTTACCAGAATTTAAGTAATAGTAACAAAAGTCTTTAATGACCTTGGCTAAGACTTTAAATGCTAAGATCTAATTCAAGAACCAAAATTTACGATAATCTAATTAAATATTTAACTTCAAGTCCATGCTAATACAAAAACTTGTTTTTTAGCCTAAAAGGGCCTTAAACCAGACTTTATATTATATTATATTTAAAGAAACCTTATATTATATTTAAAGAAATTAAATCATGAACAATCTGTATGAATGTATGCATTTTTTTCAAATTGTGAAAAACCAATGGAACCTAGAGCCATCAAATTCTGAATAACGTAGTTCTCCACCCGAATATGGTTATCTGGAAGCCCGAATTTGGAATTTGTTTTATTGTCTATTTCATATTTTCTAAAACTTTAATGAACTTTTTATTAAAAAACTCAACGATTTCAAAGCGAATAGGGGCAATACTGTACGCTATAAAATATTGGTATATCCAGCGCGCGAGATCGTCTGTCGGAAATACTAAAGTTATGCTGTATTTAAATATTTTAAGAAGCGTTAGCCCAAATGTTCTAGAAATATATGTGCGTGTCTGCAAATGAGAAAAGCCTGCCTGTTTGGGAATAATATAAAATCTGAAGGCTTTCAGTTTTTTCTTTTTTTGACACATTTATGCAACTACACTTCACCTCTCATTCCAGGAATCTGAAAAGAAAAAGAGTTTAGCCTTAGTACTTAAATTTTCAACTTTTCAACTTGCCTTTCATAAATTCGCGAAACATTTAACATTTTGCGTTTTATCTTTACACTTAATTTTCTAACATTACTCTCCAGCATTTGTAATGGGTATAATTATACAATTTTTCAATAACTACTTACTAACCAATTCCTACATTGTTAATAGCTTAGACACATTAGACCTCAAAGCCACTCTATTTCAAGATATCTATACCTTGGTGTCCAAAGCTTTAATTTAATTCAGCTTTCTAAGCGTTGGTTGGAGAGCCTAATATAGAAATAACTTCATTTACACTATGCTAGCTTTTACTTTAAACCAATTCAATTGTAGAGGTTGCTTTATCAGGTTCAATGTTCCGTCTTACCTTCTTCGGGAACATGCAAAGACCTGACTCGGAACAGAGAGCTTACTAAAGCTATGTTCAAAACTGTGGAAAGTAGACAGGATACACAAGAAGGGTATACAAAACCCTTTATTTTTCTCTATTTACAATAACTTCCGTACTTCGGAATACACAGACCCACTACTTGGGGTCTAAACGTAAAAATATAAAAAATAAAACTAAACTCTAATTTAACTTTGAAGTAATAAACGTGGAAGATTGGCCTTATATTAACAGGAAGCCGTATGTAGTACAGATAACTGAGAACACTACAATACGTTTAAAGTTATCAAGAGGATTAAACCTCTGGCCTGGAAGGCAACCAGCAACTGAGTAAACTTCTAAGGTAAGCGGCCTGCTTCGACTAACTGCTTCCTCTCTCTCGCTTGGCAAAAAGCCACAACTTAAATACTTGGCGTTCGCCAGACAAACTTTGCATAAATACTTTAACGCTTATAATTCTGGCCGGAAGTAGAAAATAAGAAGTGATAGTAAAGATTTAAAATAAAATAAACGTTAGTAAAACTTAAGATCCTTACATACTTCCCGCCAGAGTTAATTAGTTTGAAACTGAGGTCTAAAACGACCTTGTTGAAAACTTTTAGCTCTAGAATCTAACTCGAGGCCAATCTTTTACAAATATTTTTCCCTAGAAACTAGAAATTTAAAAGAAAGAAAATTTTTTTTTTTTACAATAGCAGCTCCCAGGATACACACTTTTTTTTCATCTGTACTGCATCTAAACAGGAGCTTTTATTCAAATCTGGTTCCTTCCAGAGATCTGGAAGGAAAACTAGTTTAATGAAATGTTACACAATGAAATGGCAAGTAACATGTATAATTATATTTCTCTTAACATTCTTATTTCATTCATGACTATTTTAATTATCTCTCCCCGTGCTCTCTGACATGTGTTGTAAAAGAACACCAAACACGAATGTGTTTATGTCTACGTGTTCAACACTTCCTCCTACAATCAAAACACTAACGTGTTAAAATTCAACATACCAAGACCTCGTAACACACCCTAATTTCAACTCTAAACCCTGAGGTACTATTCTGAAAGTGGCTAACTCTGAAGTGTAGCGTCAGAGAGCCTAACTACATCATTCAACCTTTAACACATATTCACCATGATTTAGTCTTTTTACAGTCACACGAAAAAAAAAAATTTTAACATTACTTTCACTTTTACCATATCACGGTATTTCTTAACATTTAAAATAACAGTTCACATTGTATATAAGAACATATTCAACATGCCGTTAATTTTACACATTTGAAAACATACATTAGTAGTACATTGTTAACTTCTATTCTTTTCAAAGCAAGTGCCAATTCTTTCTACATTGAAATAATACATTTCAAAAAGTCTTTCAGACTAAAACTTCTTTCTTGCCAGAATGTTTTAAATAATATTTATACAATAACTTTTTACAATATTTAAGTCTTTACACAACGCTATTATACATCAACTTTAGTTTTACGCGCGAGTAATTGAAAAACATAATACCAAAATCGGTAACAACTCATTTCTCGCCCTTTTGGCGATAAAGGTAGACCTCGCATGAGGTAAAACTTCTTGAAATCTGCCACTTGCAGTAAGAATGAAAGATTAACTTAAGTTTGCAAAGTAACATAAAATTTTACTTATCTTTGTGATATTCGGACATTCTTTTCTGGGCCCAGTCTTAAAGGTAGTGCAGATTGCTGTTTGATTTATCCTCCTTCTTGTACGGGCTCGCCCTTCAGTGCCTTTCCTCTAGAAGCTTTCCTTTTTCACCAGTTCGGTCACCCTTGAATACCTTCTTTTTCGCCTCTGCCTGTGGTCTTGGCCGTTTGATGGCAGCTGGTCTTGGCGGAACCGGGAAACTTCTTTCGTGTTCCTGCTTGGACCTCGTTGCTGGCCGTTCAAATTTTCCTTGTAACTTTTCCTCCTCCGCCGCTGATGGCCCTTCCGCAGTTCGGCGACATTTGCTGCGGAGAGTTCCTGTCGGATGAGTAGATCTTCCGTTTTAGAGCCGGGTTATAGTTGCCGTCATTTCTCCTGGCTCTCTTTGCATACGTCGTCCTTCTCCCTTCTTCATTCTGGGGGTGTTCGTGAAGCTCTCTTTTCTGGACGGTGGAACGGCTTCTTTTTCTTGTTACCTTCAATTTTTCCGCGGGGAAACTTTCTTTTCACTTGCTCCTGCCTCTTAATGGCTTGC